GTCGTCGTTGAAATGTGTCGAGAGGAGGGCACTTGGAATGCCGTCAGCAGGGCAGTCACGCAGATTATGTCGGAGCTGCAGCGTAAATGGAGAGAAGAGCAGCGATCTAGCAACGCCAGCTAGCGCTGAGAGTACGACAAGTGCATGAGCACAACCACCCCCGAAGTAGTCGCTTCACAGTGGTCCCGGGGGATCCAGGCAGAGGAGAGAGTAAGGGATGGGTTTTAGTGGAGCTGCACTAGGCAACTAGTGGATACCACACCGTGCCAACTTCACTACAGGCCAGGCTTCTTGAAGCTTTCCTAAACCTTTCTATCAAAAAAAAAACACACACACACTTCCCTCCGAAGTAATAGGACAAGTGGTTCCGGGGGAAAAGGGCAAGGAGGTTTTAGTGCGGTTAGAATCCCACACGCCGTGTCACCGCGACTGTGCGCCCAGTCGTCATGCGGTGACACAATGGCATTTTTAAAGGTTTCCTCCTTGCAAAAAAAAACACACTCACACACCCTCTACCCCAACAAGCTGAAAGTCATCGTGGAGGGACTTTTCCCACAGCATGACCCAACGACCTGCCACATCCACCATATGGCGAGGAAGATGCAGACAACGTTGAACAAGTCTCCAACGATGAACTCCTAGCAGCAGCGAAAGGGTTGAAGGCGAAGAAAGTTCCCGACCCGGATGGAACTCTCTGGACGAGGGTCAATTCCCTGATATGTGGAAGGTACAAAAGCCCTTATATGTAGAAGGTACAAAAGCTCGTGCTGCTGCTGAAGCCCGGAAAACCGCCGGGGATTTTGCATCGTATAGGCCAATATGCTTGCTGAATACTGTCGGAAACCTCTTGGAGAGGATTATCCTGAACAGGCTAACGAAATGCACCGAGAGTGAACACGGGTTGTCGGAGAGGCAGTTCGGATTCCGGAAAGGGGGATGAAATTTGGACAGTGCCGACAGAGCCGAGAAAGCTTCCAAACAGAAGCGGAGAGGAAATCGATACCGCACCGTGATTACGATTGATGTGAAAAATGCATTAAATAGCGCCAGCTGGGGGGCCATGGCCAAGGCGCTCCATATAATGAGGGTTCCAGACTACCTCTGCAGAATTCTAAGTAGTTATTTTCAGAACCGGGTCCTGGTCTACACGTGGCAAAATCGCTGAAAGGAGTGGAAATGCTGGCAGCCGAGGCGAGGCGCTCTAAACAGAAGTGATGTTGGTTAGTGGAATAGTTCTAGCGTTGTTTGTCACTACCTAAAGCCCCACGTTGCTGAAAGCATGTCCAGGCGATGGGGCAATTTTTCTTCAGTTAACTATTGCTTGCTTCTCTCGTCATGACCGACGTAGTCATCTCAGAGGGAAACAGTACGGTGGTGTTGCGTGCTGTACCATCATCAGAATTGTTGGCGGTTACTCCCGCCCTAAGTTTTTACATTCAATCAAAGTGTTTGTTACTTCATTCGTGAAGTTTACGGTTTTAGAGTTGAGCGGAAATGCTATACTTTCATGTTCCATATTCTTTGACGCTTTTATACTGTTGTTATTCTGCTGTTTAGTTGTGTGTGGGCTTGAAAGGTGCTTATTCAACTTTTTCCCGATTATCTTGTAATAATCATCACTATACAGCTTTATATTGAACCTGGCCGCTAATTTGTTGATTTTATTTAAAGAGGATTATTCAGTGGCGCCGGTGGTGTAGTGATAAGCGTGACTGCCTCTCACTCCAAAGGGCCTGGGTTCAATCCCAGTCGGTGCCGCCGGGATTTTGTGAATCATAAAATCTCTGATCACGCATTCCTTCGGAAGGGAAGTAAAGCAGGTGGTCTCCGGTCCATGAGTTGATGGGTCGATAGGTAGGGTCCAGGTGTGAGAGCTGTCTCGCTGGTGCCGGTAGTATTGGTACTCAGTACGGAAAACAAGATCGACGGAAAGCAAATCAAGGAAAAGAGGATCATATTCGTCAAAATTAGTTAGAAGCAGCACACATTACTAAATTATTAACTGCACAGGGACCTGGATTTTTCTGAACTTCTGACGACCGCATTGGTATACCACGACTCTACCAACATCACTTACGCATTCCTTTCTACAACGAGATCTCGGAGTACAATTTTTATAATAGTGCTCATGCCAAACTTGTCTCGACAAGATTATTCAGCTTTGCGAAAGGAGCGGAGTAAAAGCTGTAAAATTGCAAATATCAAAAAATAAACCTAGTTGATTGTATATACGCTTCCAGAATAGCGCTAATACAGTGTACTATATTACCTGAATATAGGTTGTTTAGTAGGTGAAAAAGCACTTTTGATGTTAATCTTATTCAGAAAGAGTTGTTGAACGAGCTCACAAATATACACGACAATTGAACAGAAGAATGAAGAAACAGCGAAAGTTGGTGAGATCATCTTACATTATTGCTCATATTTATACAACCATTGCATATCCTAAATACGCACCAGAATAAAAAAGGTTTATTTTTTTAATTCTGGAAGTGTGAATGCATTACATGTATCCAATTGATATATCGATATGTTCATGCGGGGCTTATTGTATATGAAGGCGACCTCAGAATGTACGCGTTATCACCTTTCATCGCCAGGGCTAAAAATGTTTGCATCTATGTATAAAATTAGGTGTAAACAATTTTCTTCCATAAAAGCACTGCCGGCCAGTGGGAAAGGATTGTAGACACACAATAATCTTATTCAGAAAGAGTTGTTAGTTTTGTAAAAGTTGTCAAAACTTTGTCAGACTTGATATTAGCGTTTGTTGCCTTCTGTTTTTCAGTACGACTGACAAATTTATTGAAAATGCTATGAAAACTCTTTTCAAAACCATTTTGTTAGCATCTACCTGTAGCTGCATTTGAAATCTTTTTACAGCTACTTTACAGCATGGCGCTGGAAAAGATGGCATGTAAAGCTCAAAATGTTTCTTGGGAAGGGTTTGACCAAAAAGCCAAAAGTAGCCGACTAAGTTCGTCAGATTTGCTTGTATTGAGGATTAGTAAAAGCTGTTTCATATCGTATAGTATTTAAATACAGGTTGAGGTTGTATAACCCTGACCAAGGATGAGGGGCTTGATGATGATTTGTCAAGTGTCGCAATGATTTTTTTTTTAATTTGTTAAAATTCTAGTTTTTCTTCAGTTCATTGATTTGAACGGTTCAAGCGAGTTAATTTCACGGAGCCGTAAATTGTAGTTTTATAATAATTTCAATATTAGCATAATATAACATAGTAATTTTAAATTCGCTTTTGTAATGCTAAGGTAAATAGTTTGCTTTGAGTGTAAAGTTAATTTATAAGAAAGTTCCAACAATTTTTTTGCACTTCGAAACTTGACGGGTCATACCTCTAACATAGTAGCAGTGACAGTGTCACATGTCCTAACAACAACTGCCTGCGACTAGTGTTCGAGGGGCCGACAGGGCTGAATAAGGGTCAATACTAACAAAACTCTAACACTAACATGACCCCGAAACTAACGTTCATCCATTGCACTAATAGTTATAATGTAGTTGTACTTTCCTAATAACCCATCTATCACAGATAAACATACATAACACTCGCAGGTTGTTCATCGAATACGCATTTGACGGTCAATTTGAGTGTTTTTGGTTGGCGGTGCCGCCACCTGTGGCGCGTACGGTCGGTTCCCTTGCGTTTGACGTATGCACACTAGCGTCATCTGTTAAGCGTACTATCCATCACGTGATACGCGACAGATGTCGGTAGTGTTTTAGTGACTATGTTTTGTGGAGAGAAATATTAAATGTGTTATTTCTGTTTGTCTGTGCATCTATGTTTCTTTTTCGTTGTGTGTGTGTGTGTGTGTGTGTGTGTGTGTGTGTGTGTGTGTGTGTGTGTGTGTGTGTGTGTGTGTGTGTGTGTGTGTGTGTGGGGGGGGGGGGGGGGGAGGGGTAATGTAACCAATACTAATACCTTTCTCTCTGTTCTTTTATTCGTTTTCTATATCCCTTCACCATCACCCCATATCCCATCATCTTGACGAGAGATGAGTTACTTGCATGGTGCATGCCCAAGTCGTACTACAGGATAATATGCTGAGCGTGGTTCTATCACAACAACCACGCAGGAACGCAAATCGATACAGCTGAAGAATAATGAGGTAAATTCTACACAGTATTTTAAAGGAGCCAACTCTATGCAGGTAATAATAGCAATTAATAATCAAACAACCATAAAAGGTAAGAACGAATTTATTTATTTTAAATACAGTAATGACGCGATTTTGTCAGCCCCTCCGCGCTTCAGACTTTTTTCTTTCAATAATTTCACATACCCATAAATCTATTTTTTTCTCATTCATCGTTAAGAGGGATATTTAAAGTATACTTTGGTGCAATAGGTTTAAAAAGATTACTGAAAAAAGGCATGGGTTTTGTAGAACATTGGAATACATTTTCAAAAAAGGAGGCTGACGATATCGGGACATTACTGTATTCCATTTACATTTACATGATTTATCACATATTTCTGGAGATCTTCGAGGTTGGAGCGTAGTTGCTTTTGTAGATGGGCACGTCATTTGCCGGTTTCTCGCGAATTGGGGCTCAGTTTGGAAAAACTAATAACACAAACAGGTAGAGGAATATTTCCTCTATGATTTGGTATAGTTTTTTTGAAGGATTGTTCTTTTGTTCGCGGGAGACCGGTTGTTGGCGTGTTTGTTTGCAGGGGCGATTGCGCCCAGATCTCGGGGTTCTCCGGATTTATGGTCGTAATCTAATACACACAGTTGATCACAATACGAGCCATTTACCTAGTGAGCACCATAGCTCGAGTCGTCTGAAAGTATTGTGTATCGCATGGAGAGCCCAACCGAGATGCTAGCCTATTAAGACTGCAGTTGGTCAACTCTCGAAAAAAAAAAAAAGGTTGAGGTTGTACAAATTAAATTAGCAAAGCATTTATTTAATGAAAAATGAGAACGCCTCTGTTGTTGTCGTGTTTAATCTTGTAAATTTTGTTTCAGATTTCAAATTCTTCTGCTGATCGGGATACAATTTTCAAAGATTGTGTTAAAAATATGGAGGAATGTGTTACCAGATTTCCAGAACATTATAAATCTATATATCGGCTAGCGTACCATTACATGAATGCTCCAGGTGCAACTAAATCTCTCGAAAAATGTAGTCAGCTGCTATTGGGATCTTACAAGACTACTCTAGGAAATCAAATACCCGGATTATTTACCGAAAGAAGAAGCAACAATTTCTTTAATGTAAGTACCCTTATATTGATTTAATTATACCGTTTAAGCATCAGTTCACTCTCAGCTCGCGGTGTCGATCAAACTATCTACAGGTGTATAATCGGTAGAGGTAGAATCAGGAAAAAGGAATATCAAAATTGGCTAACAATATGCTTTTAAAAACAAAATATAATATAATTGTTATAATACTTTAGTATTCGGCTTCGCTTGGCTATTGTTTTGATGTGCTTTGTCATGCCTGCTACTTATTTTGTTGAATATTTGTTCTGAAGCCTTAACATTCGATATTCTATGTACCGTAAAAAGGGGGGAAGTTGATCAATCTTTACCGATAAATCTCAATATTTTCCACACAAAACCTCCCACACAATCCTGTACTAGCAAATGCTTTTCAAACGTACGAATTTGATTCCACAGTTATTAATGGAGAGCTTCCGATGTCTGTGCCATTTTTGCATTAGTATAATTCAAGAGCCACATGTGAAAAGAGCATACAAGATTTTTGTAAACAAACCTTTGTAGGTCTTTTTCTCGCCAACCGATGGTCGCCCACGCAAGGGTAAAGATTCCCCTACCCGATGATGATGATGGTTTGCGTTGGTGTCATTTGGGTGGCGAGAACATGGCCTAAGAAGGTTTGTTTACAAGAAGCTTGTATGCCTTTTTCACATGTTGTTCTTGAATTGTGTGGCAACTACAATCATACTCTATGCCGAGGGAAGTCGAGACATTTTTCAACCCGAGAAATTCCTAGACCGGACCTGGAATCGAACCCAGCTACCTTCAGTTGGGTTGTCCCGGATCTGCCGGAGCTCGGTTCATGTTTATGTCAGACCCCAAATTCTATCTTATATCAAAGTTCCAAATGTTTTCGAAAAACCGAGTAGCAGTTTCAAAGATTGACCACTTTTGCGTATGTTCTGGATCTTCCGGAGGACGGTATCATGGCCATACGGGTCCATGTTTATGTCACGACTCCGCTTTCCTGCGCTTTGGGCAGGTAGCGTATAGGGCTTCGTTGTGCCAATTTGGTCGTGGCACATTTCGAGTATGAGAGAGTGATTGCAATTTGCTCAAAAGTGCCTGAGGAAAATGCAAGTACTTTTTATGATTACCCGTAGTTGTTACAGTGAAGATATACATCATATTCTCGTTTATTTCTGGACGTGTTTGCCATACAGATTTTTTTTTATTTGATTTTGTGTGGTGGATGGGTTTCGAGCGTGGACGGGCATATGGGTGATAATATTAAGTTTACGTTAGGATAACGTTGAAAAATTGAGAAATGTATCGCTTCAGTTTGAGAAGCACTTCACTTCGCAACCGATGAACCATTCTGACGGCCCACATTACCGTGCAGGGGTGTGTTGGCAGGGTCCAATATTGGACAGTTTGATGTTTATAAAGTACTATCAGTTAAAACTGTATTTTTGAGCTTTATCTCTATACATTCTTAGGTGTTTCTTAGTAGATTATCATGTTGGTGTACGCTGATTCAAAGAGTAAATGGTATTAACATTGAACTGTCCATAGTTGGGCGTTGTTTAACTTGTGGTACTTGCACAACATTTCATGTGAGTATCAAAGTAATCATAAAAAAAAAGGTTTATTTAAGCCATCCGGGTTCAGGTTTATGTCACAACCTCAAATTATTTCTTATATCACAGTTTCTAATGTTTTAAAAAAAAAAGCCGCGCAGCTCTAGGATCAGTTTCGTGGATTGACCAATTTTACGGCTGTCCCGGATTCCGTTGTTTCCAGGGTCCATATATAGGAACCATGACTGTATTCTGATTAAATATAAACAGTTGTGCTCCTTAATAAAAAAAATATAGATGTTAACCCGAGCAAAGTCTGAGATCAAATTGAAATCTAAATTTGATGTAATGTCGCTGATAATGATTACTCAGGTTGCTGTCGTTTTGGTCGTTTTAACGGTTAAATTTGAGAGCAAACATATCTTCCTGTGACATCACATTGAAAACTATTTCTGCTATCAGTGAGAGCAAACTGAAATCTAAATTTGATATCCATTTTTCCTGTTGATTACAAAACAAGTATTCAATTTGATGTTATGCTAAGGCAATGAAAACAAACCCACAACAACATATTTTTGAAGAACAAATTTACAGCAAAATAAAACAAAATTAGGTTTCAAAGTTTTCAATTGCGTAAACTGAAATCAAATTATGATTTCAGTTTGATGTTGATATCAAAACTTGATTTCAATTTGCTGTCATTTTGATGCTGAACTTTGCTCGGAAAGCCACATTCAAAACTCATAAACACAACTTAAAAAACGTGTAACCGGTCTTTTCGCATTTAAAAAAAAGTAGATGACCCTATTTTCAACCTATTTAAAATCAAAATAATCTACAGACCCTAGGAATTCAAGTGGCATTTTTTAAATACATAAAAAAATGCTAAGATATGTCATTGCAAACTAGCCGTAACACGTTTCTGAGGCATGCTCGGAGTGTTAAATTATGTTGACCACTCCGTGGTTCGTGGGTCGGAAACCACCTTAGAAAATAGCACGCAAGGGTGCGCCAGAATGAGGTTGCTTCTCACCGTTCTTTCTACTCCCGTTTCAGTCCATGCCAGAAATATCCTTTCCTCAATATCGTGAATTTCAGCAGGGATTCCACGATGACCAATGAACCTTCGGAAGACGGATAGAAATCCAGCCGTTGATAGATCATATCCAATCTCTAGATGCATTGCCTTCGTAGAAAAGCAGACAATGACTGCGATATACACCTTTGGAGATGCAGCATTTCGACGAGAAGGCTTCAAGTAGAAGGGTCCGCTGGAAGTTGTCCCATCGGTTGTTCAACGGTTTTTGGGTGGGTACGGAAACAACGAACACATTTTCGGAGCAACGAATTTACGACACGCTTACCGTGAATTGGCCAAAACTCTTGACGCGTTTCAGACAGCGTTAGCTGTGGTCCGCAGTGGAAGTTTGAAGTTTGAACTAGCAATCGCGTAAAGGGATGATAACTTGGCAATACTGCAGGATGCTTGGTAGCAAAGCCTTCGTTGGCATATCTCAGACTTCCACCAACTCTGATTATACCGTCGTTTTCGAGAAAAGGAGATAGCCGCTTGAGATCGGATTTACAATCAACTAGTCGCTGTCTCTGTAAGTTACGTAGGTCCTCAGGAAATTGTTCAGCCTGCACGATTCGAACAAGGATCAGTTTTGCCGACTGTATCTCTTCCTTAGTCAAATAGGCGACGATCCGCAAAAGTGGGGTTAACGAAGAACGCAGAGTAAGAATCTCGTTTGGATCTGGCGCAAGGATAACTTTGTGGACAGCCTTACGGGTTTCCAGCTCTTCGTTGGCGAAGCTCGATTCTGTAACCTGATTCGGCCAAGTTTCTATAAGTAGCCAAGTAGCCATAACGGTCCCTTCTTCCACAGCTGACTTTGCAGAAAATCATCTATTGGGAATCCCCGAGATACCAAATCAGCAGGATTCTCCTTTCCAGCAACATGTCGCCATGAATGATTGTACGTAAGCGTCTGAATAGTCGAAACCCTGTTTGCGACGAACGTTTACCATGAGTTGGGAGGCGTACGTAAGCAGTGCAAGACAATGGTACTATCTGACCAGAAGATAGAGCGTACATTATCCAATGAGAGAGCCTTTGTCACCTTGGAGCGAAGACGAGCAGCTTCTCTAGCCGCGCAGAGTTCCAGCCTTGGCAACGTTAATCTCTTAAGTGACGCAACGCGTGATTTCGACGAGAGTAGCTCAATCCGCACGTTTCCTGCTTGATCCGTCGCCCGCACGTACAAGCAAGGACCGTATGCCAACGTAGAAGCATCAGCAAAACAGTGAAATTGTATCCAGTTAGAAACAAAGGCAAATCGACTGATTCGTAGTTACGAGATTTTTCCCAAATGGGAATGGAAAGCCTTCCATTTCTTCTCGATATCAGAAGGAACAGGCTCATCCCATACAGACTTCAGCAAAGCTAGCTCCTGCATGATAATTTTCGCCGTAACGATTAGTGGAGAAATCAATCCCAATAGATCGAAGAGTTTGGCAATAGCAGACAAGATGCTCCTTCTAGTCCAGATTTGCTCATTTGCCGCTACGTCGTAGTTGAAGCGTAATTGATCAGTCCCGGGCTCCCAGGTGATTCCCAAAGTTTTCACCTTCTCTTCCGGACTGATTTCGAATGAAATTGATAGATTTGTTCCTAGTTGATCGGCAGGGATATCAGTCAAAACCTCTGGCCGATTTGAACACCATTTTCGCAAAGCAAATTCTCCTTTCCTTAGCAGAGTGCCTAGATTCTTCTGTAGTTGGATGGCTCCTTCTACACTGGGTGCTCCATCAATATATTCAACCACGTAGAAATCTTTTACTAGCGCATTGCTAGCTTCGGGGTATTCAGCTCCTTCGTCCGCCGCCAACTGATGCAATGCTCGAATTGCCAAAAACGACGAAGGCTTCAACCCGTACGTTACTGTAAGTAGCTCGAAGACCTTTATTGGTTCATCACCAGAGAACCTAAAGAAGATGCGCATCAGTCCAGTATCATCCTCGTGTACCAATGCCTGTCGGTACATTTTCTCTACATCTCCGACCAGCGCCACTTCATGCTTCCGGAATCGTAGCAGCAGACATAGCAATTCATCCTGAATCGTAGGACCTTTTAGAAGAACGTCATTCAACAAATATCCGCTATCCGCACAAGCAGATCCGTCAAATACAACGCGTACTTTGGTTGTAATGCTGGATTCCTTCAGTACAGCGTGGGGGGGGGGGGGGGGGGGGTAAATAGAAGAATTTTCGGACATTCATCGCATTATCCTTCCCCCGAAGTTCGTCCTCACGAACTTCCCTCATATGCCCTAGATCGAGATATTCCTGCATGAAAGTATTGTACTGCTTACGCATCTCTAAACTCCGTTCTAACTGCTTCTCCAGCCTTAACCCTTGTAAGCGCCATTGATCTGGAGTCACCTAACATCTGTGCGAAGTTAACATGCT